AGGCGCAGGACTCAAGGCCAAAAAGTCTAAAGGGGGGGCCGAGTCCCTCATTCCCCAGGGAGAGGAAGTGGGGAGCAGAAATGACAGAGCAGAGCGAGTCAGGCTGCTTCTCAGAAAGCCCGGGCATCCTGCCTCTCCCAGCCAGGGACCTCTCGACACGTTTTCCACCAGCTGGCCCTGGAAAACAAGCCCGGCCCTGTGCAGAACGCTCGTCTGTCTGCACCGTCGGAGTACGGTCGCGCTCTATCAGCGGGTTACTCATTTCTCAGCATTAAAATTCGTCTTGCATGGATGTCCAGCAAAAAAGCACGTCCAAAGCAGGGTACAGTCAGAGTTTAGAGAGTTCAGACTGTATTCATTAACCGTGCAGAAATATAACGGTTTGGTGTTAAATCTGGGGTTCAGATTCAACACCAGTCAGGAGCTTAACTCTTACCAAAGAAAGAAGTCTGGTAGCCTCATCAACCATCAGTCCTCACATGCAACAGCCTTCAACAGGGAAGAGCTAGATGAATACCAAGAGGTAGTGAAAAGAGGTCGACCGATATTAGTTTATCTATTGCCGATACGATATGTAGGAGACACCGATAGCCAGTTTTTATGGGCCGATATCTAAATATTTTCATGCTAAAACTCCACTAATATTAATAATAATAAAACTATTAATAGTTGATGCACAAAATTTCTGAAGCTGACTAAGTTTTTGAACTTTGAATTAACCAACTGTCAAATCCTAAAGTGACAATGTGTAGTTTTTATTGTTAATCTCTGGAAATATCCATCAAACCTTTGTTGAAAATGAATGAAATGACACCCATTTGTTGAAAAATATTGGCGGCTTAGTAACATAGCCATAGAAATCTGGACTAAATTACATGGGGGCGGGTCTAAGTCTCTTGGCGACGCCATATTAGATGCCATGTTTTCTTCTACGGAAGCCCTTAAGGACAAAACACATTTACCGATTTTTAACAAATGATTACAAAACTTTCACCATTACTAAACGTTGTTGTTTGAACATTTACCTCATCACTCATTACCAGTGATGAAAAGAAGTCTGATGTGCTCGTCATTTTGCTGAAGTGTGCACTTCCCGGGCCTTTTTGACCCTAATGGGCATCCGTTGGTAAGGTCTTACTCCAACACAAATATACTGCTTGCTTGCAACAATTTAGGTATCTACTGCCTCCTATCGCCAGGAAAAATACACACTGTCACTTTTACTTTGTGTACGTCTCAGTGTTAAAGTGGCAGTATTTAGTTTCATGGCACTAGAGGGCAGTACATACATTTCAGGGTAGTTTTACACCATATCGCCGTGACTAGTTTAAAAAACATTACGGTAAATGTTGTTACCTGCGGAGCAGAAAGCATGCGATGCCTGCGTGACCACCAAGCCCCCACAATGGAGCTCTAAAATTGAGTCAAACCCAGAAGTACCAAAAATTGCAGTTCCACCCTCATCCGCTGGGGGCTGGTGTCAGAAGCGAGCAAATCCTCATTGACTCCCATGTTAAAAATACTAATTTCACAGCAGAAACAAACATGTTTACAGCCTGGTACCAAAACATGCTTTTGGTTTAAATGATCTAGTTTTTTCTCAGTCTTCTGTTTAACTGTATTAAAAGCCTAAAATTCTGTATAATTAATGAGCATCAGACCCACGTGACCACAGAGCTAGCTCCATGGAAAGGCCTCAGTCTGAGCCTCGGTCTGGCTTGGAAACTGCTCTGGGATTTTGAGTCTCTGTGTGTGTGTATTCTTGTTTGGATGTTTTTTGTGCAATTGTTGGACAAAATGACTTGCTGTGGCATTAATTGCACTAATAGAGCATCCAAAGAGTCTCCACTTCATTTTTTCGGTAAGTAAAATTACATTTATGTATTTTAGGTCACTGCCGAGCTGACCTTAGATTTTAACATGTACTGTTTAACCATGAAATTTAAATGTAATAGGGTAAAACCCAGTGCATTTAACATAATGCTGCACTTTAGAAAATGGGTTGAAATATAACATGTTGGTGGAGCTGGGATCCGACTATCGGCTTGTGGAGCTCTCGGGAGACCGATGTTTTCCACCCTTATCCCCTCCCCGCAGCCCGGTCCATCTCTGTCTGATCGCGGCTACTGTTAGCTGCGCGGGCTGACGGCTGGTTCGCCCAGCAGCTCGGCGCATCGCTGTCTGATCGAGGCTTCTGTGTGCTGCGGCGGGCTGATGGCTGGTTCTTATGGCAAGCCAGAACCGCCAAAATACACCACTTCTCCTCGCAGCTCGGCACATCTCTGTCTGATCGCGGCTTCTGTGTGCTGCGCGGGCTGACGTGGAGCTCTGGGATGGAAACCTTTCCACAGGTCTCGGAGACCTCTATGTTCCACCCGGTATTCCCAGCGGTCAGCCCGGCGTTTCTCTGACTCAGAAGCTCTGGTGTTGTGCACAGTTAACTCCGGTTGTAGCTAGGTTGCTACCTCCATTAGCTTAGCTCCCACCTCCTCATTAGCTTTGGGTTAGCTTTAGGTTAGCTTGTAGCTAGTTCGACCGGGTGTCGTCAGTTGATCCCAGCCTTACAGCCCCACCCTCAGCTCCTCCTCTCTTCCCTTTCATTGAATTGTCTGGGCTTGACGGAACCTGTGACACGGTCAAAATGACACTTCCCATTTGGCCTCAAAAAAGTGATATTGGAGCCTATGGAAGCCCATTGTCCATATATTAATGTCGATGGTGACCCCTCAGACTTTGATGGTCCTTCAGTTAATTCCATTGAGAGAAAGCAATGCTGATTGTAGTTTTCTGGCGGTGTCGTTTCTGCATCTACTCGAGGTCCTGCGCCTGCTGATGACGTCATCATACCACAGCAATACCGCTTGGCCAAAATATATTGACCCTGTTATTTGATTCTTTTCTTTCATGATTTATAAAGAGCTTAGGTTTTAAGATTCATGTTTCTTTCTGCCGAAATGATTTTGAACGTGGTAACGTAACTTCTGCAAGTCGTATGTCCTGCCATCATCTAAATAAAGAGTATATATATTACGCAGATGTTATTAATGAACAAAAATATACATTATAATCGAATTCTACAACACCGGGCTGCTCGAGGACGTACCTGACTTTAAATTGGTTTTACTACCGACAGATATCAGCTGATGCTGATGTATAAAAAATGTTAACTATCCAAGGGTAGTCCACCAGACTCACTACTAGGGACTGATTGATATATCAGCCAACCGATTTATCGATCTATCTAGATCGACTCCCGTTTTGCCCAACATGGAGAAAAAAAGGAACAATTCTTGTAATTCTTGCTACGATGTAATGTGTTTTTTCTCTGACTAGACTGATCCTTTCTGTCTGCAGCTGAATTAAAGCATACCACAGCCTAGTGTAAAGGGAACTTTTAATTAGGAGCAAAAATGAATCAGTTTGAAAGATAAGGGTGCACTTGAGTTATACAACACAAAGAGCTATTGAAAACCAAAATTTTTGACAAAACATGTTTATCTTGTTTTCATAAACTAGAAAGTGTCCACGTCTGAGTAGTTTTAGGAAAAACTAGTCAGAACCTGCAGAAATTAGGATTATTTTGTTCGTCTGTTTTCTCTTTTAGTGAAATGTTTAAAGTATTTTAAGTCAGTTTTCCTTTTTTACTATGAAGAGAGGCACATAAAGAAACAACAGCCATGATTTTGCAAGTAAACAGATAAAATTACCCTAAAAACAATAAAATGTTTCATATTTAACCTATGTTAAAACTTCATGCTGAGTAATTAGTGACTGAAAGAACAATCTGTTGAATAACAAAGAAAGCAGAAGCACATCAGGAAGTGACATTATCTTTAGCTGCCCCATCATTGACCAATAGGAACGTGATTCCAGGTCACGCCCCCTTAAATTCAAAGGAAGGCACACAGAAAAATAAAAAAGGGCAAGTATACTTAAACAGATTTATTAGTAGCCATATCCCACTGCCTCCAGACAGTAAATATTATTTTGGAGTAAACCATCTGCACGTGGATTCAAGTTTTTTGTTTTTCCTGCACATTTTGATTTAGGCAGCAACCTACATTAATGATGTCTTAATAAATTAATACTTTTTTAAATTATTAAAACCACTTAGTTTTTGCTCTTTGTGATATCAACATAGTGAAGAGGAACTAAATATTTATTTAGTGTTTCACAAGAACACAGAGCTTCCTGTGCACACCAGAGAGTGGAGAAGATTTTGAGGCAGGTTGGGAAAGCTAAAGAGGACAAGTGGGAGTTCATCAGAGACCCTCACTGACAGATGAGGCAGACAGAGTGCAAACAAGAGAGCCACGTGAAAGAGCAGGCCACATAAGGGTGTAGAGTTACAGGATGTTTGCGTCACACCAAGTTAGGAGACAGCAAGTGGGTTTTTAACTCACAACAAATATATGTGGAGGGATGAAAGAAAGAGAGAAACAGGTTTGCAGCTAGATTCCTGGAAATCATGCATCTGTGGATTTCAGCAAGTCACGATGTGTATGCCACTTGCGTGGAGTCGCAGCTATACTCTCCTCCTGCTGGGTGGACATTAATATTGCTGTTTCCACGTCAACTGGGTTGCTTGGAACCAAACTTTTCAGCTGACCGTGCAAAAAAACAAAGATAAAACCTGCAAGGAAACATTTTTAATTTATGTTTCAGTTCTTGATGCTGTTTTGCACAAATGAACTAATCTGATAAATTCTGATGCAGACGGCTATTTTTAGTCCAAATCTGACATCATATTGATGCAGATATTATTGTGTGGAGCCTTTTGAGCATTTAAACCCACACATTTTTGGAGAATGCATTCAGAACTCCTTCTCATTGGCGCTGCAGAGGCATGCTTGCACTTTGGAAAGCATCGCAAAGAAATTAAAAGCCGGAGGGTCTAACTTTGCTAAACCTGCACATGCATGACGTTTTAAACAAAGATTTCATTAAATCTGCGTGTGCACGTGCCAAAACGCACAGACATGTCACTATTTTACAGTTACCTTGACCTCTGCTGCTCTATCTGTCCGCCCTCCAGGCAGAAGCTCGGGGAGAACTGCCTGGAGTAGTGTGCAGGTAAAATTCCCTGAGTGTAGGTCTGCAGCCTCCCTCTGGTCGAGGGAGGGAGCGCGGAGAAAGGCGAGTTGACCGTCGAGGGCGTGAATGCGTCGCCCTCCGAGTCGGTATCCGCCGGGGCAGCAGTAGCAGGACCCGTCCCACTGCCCCAGCTGCTGGCAAGGCGAGCCTGGTTGGCTAAAGCGAGCGCCTGGGTGGCGGTGGGAGCAGCCGCAGTAGCAGCCGTCTCGACGGTGCCAGCAGCACCGTGCGCCGCGGAGCGCTCCGGAGAAAGCAGACTCTGCTGTCTAGTCCGTGCTTCCAGGGAGTTCTCCTCCTGGTTCTGATTGTCTGCGTCGTCTTGCACGGGTCTGCCGTCCAGAGAAATGTTGCTGAGAAAAGCCAGCGCCGCTTGCCTCCTCCTCGGGTCCATGCGTTTCCGCGTATGCTCCATGTCCATACTGGGGTGTTTCATCTGAAGCGGGGCTGGGGATGTGTTGCTGCTCGTGGCAGCCGCCATTGTCCACCTCCTGCGATCCGAACCCCCCTCCTCTGCTGCGAGCTTATCTCGTGGACATTAATGCAGATCTGGTCGTGTTGATGCTGCTGAATGGTGCTGCTCCTGGTTTAAGTACATGCGTTAAGTGGGTGAAAACAGGGACGTCACGTGTGCGCAGAATCGTGGCAGCACAGGGAGATTTTGGACCAATGAGCTGGGAGGAACACTTTTTTTTTCTTCCACCTTTCCTGACTGCTGAAGCTCGCTCCTCTGTCTGAGCACATACTGAAATTACATAAACTTAGCTCCGACTCCGAGCTGTGCCTGTTGCGCTATTTTTCTCAAATGTATCACATTGCATCTCACAATCAAATTAGAAATGTTTAACTCTGCAGAGTGGAAACTTGCGGAGCTTGTTCCTGGACTCAAACTGGCCCAAGGCCTGCTTGCCCTCGTTCCAAGCGCATAAAGTCCAGATGAATGTTCTGAGACCAGTGGCTGCTGGCAGAACGGGACGGTTCCGTTCGGAGGAAATGGATCGTTTTGTGAAACGTGGGAGTCAGCCTCTCTGGAACAACTGCGCCACCTGTCTGCTTGACACACACACACACACACACACACACACACACACACACACACACACACACACACACACACACACACACACACACACACACACACAACAGTAGAGTGTTTTCTCGTGTTGATGGATTTTGATAGGCCTACTCGTACTTTTCCAAACAGAGATGTTGCTAAAGCAGAACAAATATGCACCAAGGCCCATTTCTTCCTGTTTCTGTGCCTCGTTCCTCAAATTAAAGTAAAACTCACTAAAAAGAACAGCGTCTTCATGCCGCAGGCAGTTTAAATATAGAAATCCCCGGTTCCGACACTTGTGTCAAGCCAGCCTCCAGTTGGAGACTTGCAGTCCAGCCAGCCTCCAGTTTATTGTCGGTTCCCCGTCTATTCAAAGTATTACGGGAATGGATGTGGAAACCGGATTTCAAAATAAAAGTAAACTTCGAGTGAATTAACAGATATTTTCAGAACATAATAACATATAATTTAGGCTTGTTCACTATTAGCGGCCTGTCAATATCAAGGCCATCTTATTTTGGATTTCAAAGTAAAAGCCCTGTGAATTTTCAACTCAGTCTGATGTTGCCTTCCAAAATAAAGACCTTTTAAAATTGCCCATATACGACCAAACTTTCAGTGATTTCAAAATGCTCTAAAATGGAAAATTGCTGTTTCCACAGGGTAATTCCACTTTAGATCAACAGTATACAACCCCACAGTGATACTGTATCAATATCAAGTCATTCTGATGTTGCCTTCCAAAATAAAGGCCTTTCAAATTGTCCATAATTGACCTACCTTTAACGATTTCAAAATGCTCTAAAATAGCAAATTGCAGTTTCCACAGGGTAATTCCACTTTAGATCAACAGCATACAACCCCACAGTGATACCATATCAATATCAAGTTATTCTGATGTTGCCTTCCAAAATAAAGGCCTGTTTAAATTGCCCATATACGACCTAATTTTCAGTGATTTCAAAATGCTCTAAAATAGCAAATTGCTGTTTCCACACGGTAATTCTACTTTAGATCAACACTATACAACCCCACAGTTATACCATATCCAAATTCAACCACATTCAATAATCTCTCTGACTGCATAAGACAAAAGACACCACGGCTGAGTTTATTCTCCACCTCTGTACTAATTTCAAAGTTAACTATTGTCTTTTTTGTGGGTTTTAAATGTGGTGAACACTTGACAAACAAAGTAAAGAGAAAAAACAATACAAGACTATTATAAATTAAAGGGCCTTGGATATGTCATTCAAACTAACACCAGTGCACATCAAAACATACATGTGAGTAACAGAAAGAATAAAAAAACATTTCAGAATAATTCTAAGGTGGAATTACCCTGTGAAAACAGAAATTATTCTTTTTAGAGCATTTTGAAACTGTTCCAGGAGTAAGTCTGGTATGGGCAGTTTGAAAATGCTTTTATTTTTGAAAGCTAAATCAGAATGACATGATATTGATATGGTATCACTGTGGGGTTGTATACTGTTGATCTAAAGTGGAATTACCCTGTGGAAACAGCAATTTTCCATTTTAGAGCATTTTGAAATCACTGAAAATTAGGTAAATTGTGGACAATTTAAAAAGGCCTTTATTTTGGGAGGCAACATCAGAATGACGTGATATTGATATGGTACCACTGTGGGGTTGTATACTGTTGATCTAAAGTGGAATTACCCTGTGGAAACAGCAATTTTCTATTTTAGAGCATTTTGAAATCGGTAAAGGTAGGTCAATTATGGACAATTTGAAAGGCCTTTATTTTGGAAGGCAACATCAGAATGACTTGATATTGATGTGGTATCACTGTGGGGTTGTATACTGTTGATCTAAAGTGGAATTACCCTGTGGAAACAGCTATTTGCTATTTTAGAGCATTTTGAAATCGGTAAAAGTAGGTCAATTATGGACAATTTGAAAGGCCTTTATTTTGGAAGGCAACATCAGAATGACTTGATATTGATACGGTATCACTGTGGGGTTGTATACTGTTGATCTAAAGTGGAATTACCCTGCGGAAACAGCAATTTTCCATTTTAGAGCATTTTGAAATCGTTAAAAGAGTCGGTCAAATATGGGCAATTTCAAATTGCTGTGGTTGGGTAGTGTTGATACAAAATGTAACTATCTTTGGAAATATGACTTTTGCTTTTAAGAGCATTCTGAAGTCATTGAAAGAGTAGTTCAAAAATGAAAATTCACAGTGCTTTTACTTTGAAATCCAAAATAAGATGGCCTTGATATTGACAGGGCGCTAATAGTGAACAAGGAACAAGCCTAAATTATATGTTATTATGTTCTGAAAATATCTGATAATTCACTCGAAGTTGAATTTTATTTTGAAATCTGGTTTCCACATCCATTCCTGTAATAATTTGAATAGACGGGGAACAGAAAACAAACTGGAGGCTGGCTTGACACCAGTGTTCTGATACCGATATCAGAGGTAATTTGATATCTGCCCAAAACCACTATTGGATTATATCAGACTGCATCAAAAATCTCCGATAAAAGCAGTCTGTTAAGGTTCACTTGTTTGCAACCAATGGTTAAAAAAATTGTCTTTTTTTCATTCTTACTGTTATTGGCTCTTGTTTTCCGATTGAGTGATTTCACTTGATCAACCTTTCATACATCACACACTACGAAATAGGTAAAAGTATGTGTGATTTATGCTGCTGTTGTATCGGATTGATATTGGTATCGGTCAATACTGAAGGCTGCAATATTGGTATCGTATCAGAAGTGAAAAAGTTGCATCAGGACATCGTTATAAATATATCAGGTTTCAGTTGGTTTGGTACTTTAATGCAAAAGCAATTCAAACATTATAAGAACATATCAAACAAGCAATAAACGGATTATTTAAAATAAAACTCACGTTAAAATAAAATTGTAGGCTCACTAGAGTAATTCACAATATGCACAGTTTGAAATATGATGTTTGGTTTTCCCAATTACCTTCACACTGGGGATGGACTGATATTGGTATCTGTCACGAGCGTGTGGCGAGGTGAGCTGAGGTGAGGCAAGGATCCACACGCGGGGAGGAAAACAGGCAGGCAGGTGAGAACTTCTAACATTGATTTATTAGAGTCACACGCTGGAACACTGAAACAATGACACGACAGGGAACACAGAACAGAAGGGGTTTAAATAGAAGAGGAGCGGGAGCTATGGTGATTGGGAAACAAGAGGCAGGTGGGAGCAATTAACGGAGAACAGACCAAACCTAAGAGTAGACAGGACAGGGCGTGACAGTACCCCCCCCCCCCCCCCCCTCAAAGGGCGGATCCCAAACGCCCACAGGAACAAGGAGCAGGGCGGGAGGAGGGGGACCCGGAGGGAGGGCCCAGAGGAACCGAGGGACCACAGGAGAGGCGGCAGGGATCAGCAGAGTCAGGAGGCCTGCGCCTGCTGCAGATGAGGAGGCGACGGGCCCTTGGAGGTCGGCGCCTGCTGCAGATGAGGCGACGGACCCTTGGAGGCCGGCGCCTGGGGCAGACGAGGAGGCGACGGGCCCTTGGAGGCCGGCGCCTGGGGCAGACGAGGAGGCGACGGGCCCTTGGAGGCCGGCGCCTGGGGCAGACGAGGAGGCGACGGGCCCTTGGAGGCCGGCACCTGGGGCAGACGAGGAGACGAGGACGAACCCTAGGGGGCCTGCGTCTGGGGCAGATGAGGAGGCGACATTCCCTTGGAGGCCGGCGCCTGGGGCAGATGAGGAGATGGGGACGGACCCTTGGGGGCCTGCGCCTGGGGCAGAAGAGGAGGCGACAGGCCCTGGGAGGGCGGCGCCTGCGGTAGAGGAGCCCTGCAGGCTGGGCCAGGGACACAGGCAGGACCGGCGACAAAGTCCCTGCAGGCTGGACCGGAGCGACCTTCAGAGTCACCATCAGAACCGGACACGGAGGAGACGTCAGACCAGACACGACGTCATCGGACGAGCCGACTTCATCGGACGAGCCGACTTCAGGAGTGGAGGCGGCGACGTCATCGGACGAGCCGACTTCAGGAGTGGAGGCGGCGACGTCATCGGACGAGCCGACTTCAGGAGTGGAGGCGGCGACGTCATCGGACGAGCCGACTTCAGGAGTGGAGGCGGCGACGTCATCAGACGAGCCGACTTCAGGAGTGGAGGCGGCGACGTCATCAGACGAGCCGACTTCAGGAGTGGAGGCGTCGACGTCATCAGACGAGCCGACTTCAGGAGTGGAGGCGTCGACCCTTGGATTGGAGGCGTCGACCCTTGGATTGGAGGCGTCGACCCTTGGATTGGAGGCGTCGACCCTTGGAATATAGGCGTCGACCCTTGGAATGGAGGCGTCGACCCTTGGAATGGAGGCGTCGACCCTTGGAATGGAGGCGTCGACCCTTGGAATGGAGGCGTCGACCCTTGGAATGGAGGCGGTGTTGACTTTCATCCGCTTCTGGTCCTCTGGCTTCTGGACCGCCGGTCCCCAAACCGCCGACCTCTGGGCTGGTAACGTCTGCTTTTGGGCCTGCACCAGACCCATCTGCTTCTGGGCTGGTACCGTCTGCTTCTGGGCCCGCATTGTCTGCTTCTGGGCCGGAACCGGAACCGTCTGCTTCTGGGCCTGCACCGTCTGCTTCTGGACCCCCCCTGGAACAGGCCTTGAGTGAACGAGCAGTGCTAGTGCTGAAGACAGGGAGCGCAGAGCGTCGAGTCGGAGCTGATTAGAATGGGCGCTCTGTTGAAGCCGGACCAGCTCAGCCCGTTGACTGGCCAGTTCAGTTGGCTGGACTGTGGGTGTGGCTCCACCTCCCACAGATGACAGAGGAGCCGAGTGGACCGGAGGCGGGAC